TTTTTAAATTTTGAGATGGTGTCTCAATAAGTCACTAAAATTCCTAGGCTTGGCTCAAACTTGCCAGCCTACCTCAGTTTCCCAGAATGCTGCCATCACAAAGGTGCACCACCATAGCCAGCTATAGTTTCTATTTGTCTTAGCACTTTCCAGAGAAACATAATGAATACGAGATCTGTAGATATACAGAAGGAGAGTTATAATGAGGGTTCAGCTCCCCTGATAGTGCAGGCTGAGAAGCCAGAGGCCCAGGACAGCTGGTGTGCTATTCAGTCCTGTGGGAAAGCCTGAGATCCAGGGTTGCTGCTGGCCGAGTGCAGGAGAAGACAGAGGTGCAGCTCCAAAAGAGGAAGCTCCTTTGCCCTTTCTCTGCCTTTCTGTTGGATTCTGGCCAACAACAGCCTGGATGACGCCCACCCATGATGGGAAGGTGGCCCTCAGTCTACCTACGAAAATACTAATTTCTCCTGGCAGCCCTCGCAAAGGCACATCCACAAACGCTGTTTCACCAGCTACCTGGCAATCTCTTAGCTGTGTCAACCTGACCTATGAGATTAGCCACCACACTAATCCTCCCCACACAAAAAAGGAAAACTTTTAAAAAATTCTTGTTCCCTTCCTGTACTCACACAAGATAACTGAATCAGCTTGACTGCTCAGGCTCCCTGTGACCCAAGCTGAACCTGCCCATCCTGCTTTCTTCCAAAACCCTGCCTCCTTCCTCGCCATCTCTAGGCAAACCTCATTGATCCTTATTTCCAAAGGGACCACAGTGACTACAATTTATTCCCACTTTAGAACTTGATAAGCTTAGAGTAAATCAATTTGTTTGTGGCTCCTCCTCTGTACCTCTCTCCACACCTAATTTTCTCTGATTGCTGTTAGCAAAAACCAGATCTTTTCCCTGACCCTCGCAGAGCTTGATTATCAACCAAGCAGGGCTTGGATTGGAGTCCTTCTGCCTTAAATTATATCTGCATCTCTCAAAGGGAAGAAGAGTTGAATGGGTCCGAAACTCCTTGGAATCTGCTCATGGTGGTGCATGCTTGTAATCCCAGCACTCGACAGACTGAGGCAGAAGGATCATTGTGAGTTCAAAGCTAGCCTGGACTACATAAGTGAGCTCAAGGTCAGCCTGAACTGCATAGAGAGATCTTGTCTCTTTTTCCTTTTTTTTTTTTTAAATCGGTACCAGGGATCGAACTCACAACTGCCTGCTTGCAAGGCAGGCACTTATGCCACTGAGCTAAATCCCCAGCCCCCGAGATCCTGTCTCATAAAGACAACAAAACAATTCAAAATTCCTTGGGCCAATGGCTTTCTTTCTCCAAAGAGAAAAACAAAAACCATAAATTCAGGAAGTGGAACTTCCCTAACTTCTCCTCCCACACAGGGCCTGACCTCTGCCTAAAGGAAAAGTGATGATGAGACCCTGTATCAGGCAGATAAAAGAATCCTCCCTGAGCTGACACATCACATGGCTGAGAATGGGAAAGGCCGCTTCTCCATCCCATATCTACAACCTTACCTTGGAGAAGAGCCAAGGTCAAATGCCAGGCTCAGACCAGCTTAATTCCTTTCCTTTACCTGCTGACACCCTTGAGCCCTACCTCTTCTAAGTGTTCCCAATGTGGAACTCTTAAAGCCCTGTCCTTCTCAATGCACATTTCACTGCTCCAAGCAGCTCAGGTTTCTTCCCCAAAAGTTACAAACATGAACAATTTAATCTTCCCTGAGATAATTTATATCTCTACTAATCAGGTACTTCCTCTAAGAAGGCCTGTACCAGCCTGACTCCACCATGAGGAACCTGCCTGCTCTGACTCCAGCACACATTCAAGAAACATCATCCCAGGAAACCACAGGTGCTCAAGCCCTTCCATCTGTTGCTCAATGAATAGCTCAGCTTGCTCAATCTGTAAAAAATCCCACAGAACCAACGGAAAAATGTAACGTTCACAAACACAGGCTTTCTTGTACACCTGTGTACAACACCAGGCTCTTCCCATCTTGAAACAAGAGCTCCCTAAATTGCTTGGAAATCAGCCATCACTTTTCAACCACAATTACCCACAGCAGTGACAAAACCCCAAAGAAGAGCCAGCTTCAGACTGCATCTGATGCCTCAAATTCCGGAAAGTTGAGCAATAGGAGGAGTGAATTGCTAATAGTGACCCAGGTGATGCCACTTTCCCCAAAGTAGCCCATGAAGCTGGGCAATGGGTGGTGAATTCCCATAATCTCAGCTACTTCCAGAGACAGATACCAGAAGATTTTGAGTTCCAGACTAATCTGTGCAATAGAACAAGACCTCCATCTCCCCCCACCACAGAATGACAGGTTGAGGATATGCTTTTGTCTTTATGAACCTGTTTGAGCGTTTGTAATAATGATCGTGCATGTTCGTATTTCTATATTTACATATATAAATAGGTGTGTATGTGTGTGCGCGCGTGTGCATGTGTGTGCATGCATGTATATCTGAAGAGGCTGAGGCAAGGCAGAGTGGTTGGACCAGGGACACAGAGAAGTATCTTTGGCTCTCTGAGCCCAGGAGTGGCTCAGCTGGCACTTACCTCAGGACCTCCCCCGCTGGCCCTGTGTCCCCCAGATTGAGAGCCTCCTTAGAAAGTTTCATGGCCTTGTATGTGTGTTCCCCAGTCCTCTCCATCAGATGGTGAACACCTGGCCTCTGTATTCTATCAGCCTAGACCAAGAGTGTCCTGGGAAAGGCCACAGATCTGACAAGTGGAAGTGAAAGGCTGTGGACCAACTCCAAAGGGAAGGTACATGGATCTGTAGCTGAGCTCCCAAGGATTGGGGGGTGATGGGATTACTCCTGCACTTATCAAAACCATAGCCCTAAACCTAACTTCAACTTAGAATTAGCCCTAACCACAGCCCTAGCTATAGACATATCCCTAAATGTAACCATAAAGCTACCTGTATATTAACCCTAAATATACACTTATCCTTAATTGTAACAGTAGCCCTAAATCTAATAGTAACCCTAAGGGTACCCTTAGGCCTAGCTCCTACCCTAGCTCTGCCACTAGTCCTAATCCTAAATGTAACATTAACCTTAAACCTAACCATGGGGAAACCTAGTCCTTGTCCTCATCTTAATCCTAGTCCCGACATGAACCTTAAGCTTAACCTCAACTCTCATACTGAATCTAACTTGAAACCTAATGTTAATACAGCTCCAGCACTAACCCTGAACTGGTGGATCCCTGCCTGTAACCCTAAAACTTCTGAAACCTGAGGCTTATTCCTTGCCCTACCCTTCACCCTTGTTCTTCCCATATCCCTAGCCCTATTTTTAATGTTACTCTTGAGAATTACATATAACCATAAATCTAATTCTATCACAAACCCTAGTGAACCCAACCGATCTTATCCTAAACCTGGTGCTGGAATAGCCCTATCCTTTTCCCTACACCAATCCCTAACTCTGTTAACCTAATCCTAACCCTAACCCTAAACATAAACCTAACCATCAGTGAACCTGAGAGACACGGGGTCATGGTTGTTAGGGCTTGAATCTAGATGGCTTCTAAAAATCTCATGCACTCATATGTGGAGGATTTCAGAGGAGGCTGGATCTAGGCCAGTGGTAGCAAACCTAACTCATGTGTTGTTTTTCTTTTACAATGAAAGGTGTTAATGTATGAATTGTTTTTTCTAAACTAAAACCTCACTGTTTGGGTTTAATTGCAGATAGGGAACTTTTAAATAAATGAATGGATGGATTTTGGGTTACACTTTGGGCAAGCATCTTTAAAAGATTTGCCATCACTGACCTCGGGTGTACCATACTGGGATTAAGTGTGTGGCACTGAATTAGTGCACTAATTAATCATAATTTTGGGTGTGGAAGATGGGAAGGTTCAATGCAGCTGTTTGCAGCCTGGATGGGGTGTGAAAGGGAAGGGAGGCTGCTGCTGCTGCTTGCTTGCTGCTTACTGCCTGCTTCCATGCCATGGACTGTTCTCCTCTGTGATGGCCCCTCTGTCATTGCAGCGTGCCTTGGGGCCAGCTGATTATGGACCAAAAGCTCCACAAACTATGAGCTTCCAACTTGTGGCTGTTGGATATTTTGACTCAGCAACCATAAAAGTAACTAACTAAGGGAAGGGTGTGTGTGGATGTTTTACAGAAACCCGGTACTGAATCGAAAGGAAGGCACTTTGCACCAAAGAGTTTGGAAGGCAATGATTTATTATACCACTAGGCTGGTAGGCATCAGTTCCAAGTCATCATCCCTGACTGAGAGTCAAGCAGCAATTTATTTACATTTTGTAAGCAGGCAGTACAAAAGCTGATAGGAGGTTATCATGTAATTAGTTACATGCACTAAGTCATACATTGTCAGGCAGTAATAACTAAAGGACATTGTTATGAGTCAGGGACACTCTGGGAAAGGAGGTGTGAGCAGAATGCACAGAGTTAAGTGTGTCTTTGACTGGGTTATTTTGTGCTGGGTAGAAAGTCTGTGAAGCACATTAGAGAAACAGGCTATATTTTTAGGTGAGAAAATATAGTCCTTGCAGCTGGTAGTGGGACAGGCTGACATGACCCAGGCTAACTATGAAAAGCAGCTGTACATAGATGGTCAAGACTGACTAGGTTCAGCAGTCTAATTATGTGACAGGCACGGTGAGCACATCTTGTGTTAACACATTTTTATAATTTCTTGCTATAAAATTACCACTATAGATGGGTGTGGAAGACTATCACAGGTAATATCTTGCCCAGATCAATCCTACTGATGCCCCAGGAGGAGATATTCACTTGCTTACAGTCATGAGCCTTGGCCCCCTGGCAGAGTCAGAGTGCTGTTTAGAAAGGAATATCGGAGGGGTGAGTCAGCCTCCTGTAGGAATCACCCAGGAGCAAGGCTTCTAATTGAAATGTTTCTCAAAAATGACAAGTAGTTATCACAAACATATTGCTATTCACTGGAGCATAAGAAACAATTATGAAATTCAGCAGAGATAGGTATTTCATAAAGTTTTATTAGTTACGTACACTTTTACAAAATATTGGGTTTGAATGTGTTGCTTGCATACATGCATGTCACATATTTTGATGATATCTAACCCCACAATTAACCTCCCTTTTATTTCCTTCTCTTCCCTAGTCCCATACTGTTGCCATACAGTCTCCCCTATGCTTTTATGAATATTGCTAAATTTAAATTAACACATAGCACATTTCACAAAGTGGGAAGAGGAAAGGGGTAATGTGTGATGAGAAATAAAACATTCATGAAAGTCAGCAAAACAGTTATTCACATTGATAAATTAAATGTAAAACTGTAAGGAAACTACTGAGAGCTAATAATAATAAAATAAGAAAGTAAAGGTAACAAGTATGGGCCTGGGAAAATGGGAATCGGGGAGACTTTGACCCTGTGTATAGTTTTCTGTCATTTGGACTACAGTATGCACAGGAACATTATCTTGCCATAAAAAGGAAAGTACTAAAAAAAAAAAAAAAAAACAAACCCAATTGAGGTCCAGCCATGGCGAGCCTGGAATGATCCAATGATCTACATTTCTTCAATGTAAAATCAGACTATGCAAGCTAACTTTTTTTAGTGCTGCTACCTAGGTTTATAGCTGCAAATTACCTGACAGAACAATTGCTTACAGGGAGGTTCACAAGCTGGATAGAAAGGGAGACGTAGACATGTGATTGTAAATAGGCAGATGTCCACAAAGATCTTGGTGAAGGAGGATGGTCTCTCAAATCACTCTGTTCTTGATTTGTCCCCAGTCCTTGCAATGGAATTTATGGAGTCCATCCAGGGTGTTCCTAAGTGGCTCTAGGATACCAGCTTTCATTCTGGACCCTGCAGTCATCCCCTAATGTAGAGAACAAAGATGTACTCTGCTGTAACATGATGTAAAATAAAATGCGTGCAACTACCCATGAAATACTCACAAAAATGGAACCAATACTTCTTACCACTAGGGGACAGGACCACCAACCCCAGCCCATGGGCATGGGACTAGAGAGGAACCTCTGTAGGATCTGACAGGAAAGACTGGCCAAAGGTCCAACCTCAGGGACTGTGCCCCACATTCCCTCCCCATTAGATTGGGCTGCAGTCTGTGGCCCACTGTGGTAAGATGCCCTTGGAGCACACATGGCACTGTCCTTGTGATCTCAGAGCGGCATCCAGGCAACAGGCACGGAAGATGCCACTCAGCCCTGCTGCAAGAGAGCAGACACTTTTTACAATGCCTTCTGCTGTGGGGAGGGGGGCAGTGGGCTGGAATCGCAGGGCTCCCTGATCCCCACACTTCACAGCTTCTGCTGCTGGGGACCCTGGCCCAGCTCACTGAAGGTCCCAGAGAGCTGTAGGCAACAATGTTGCAGTTCCTCTAGATCTCCTTGAGCTCCATCTTCTCCATGATTGCCAAATGAAGCATCCCACCTCCTCTGCCCAGCCCAGCAGTGCAGATGCACTCACCTTCAGCTTTACCATGGCCTGCTTTCAGACCTGGTGGCTTTGTCCAGACAGGCAGTCATTCTCTCTGCTGGAGCCAGCACCTCCTCAGGCTCACCCTGGGTCACGGTTGCCAGGCAAGCCAGGCACTGGCATGGCTGCTTCTGTTCCCTCAGCTGCCGATGCTGTCAAGTGAGTGCTTCCTGGGCACTGGAGAAATCTTCATTACTAATGCTGCCTGAAGGAAGCAGAGTGTGATTTTGTGGGAGGACTGCTCAAGACAAGCTGGAGCAAAGGGCACAAAGAAGCTCCCTGTCTGTGCCAGCGTCTGTTGTTCCAAAGGGGATGGGGTCTGATTGCTGCCTCCCAGGGAAGGCATGGGGTCCAGGGAAATCAGCGGGTGGGGAAGGCCAAGGTATTGGGGTGTCCCAAGGGACCATAAAGGGAAGCAGGGAAGGTAGTACAGAGAAAAGACAAAGACCAGTGCAGCTCACCCTGGCCTCTAGGCTGTCCCAGGCACAGTCACACTGGTCCACGTTGAACATTCCTGTCCTCTTTGTCCCCTTCATCTTCTATTGGGAGCTGCCAGAATGATCTCTGATCAACCCCACAATAGAAGAACCAGACATTCTCCACCCTGACCCTGATGTGTCCTACTGGGAGACAATGACCACGCCAACACTCTAAAGGCCTCTGTCACCAGAAGTCCTCCTGAGGCTCCGTTCGGCCCTCAGGCACCTCCACTCACCTTGCCAACACAGAAGGAGGAGGCTCAGCGGGGACGACTGCTGCTTCTGCTGCTTGGTGGCTTCCAGACGCTGTGGTGGGTAGGATGAGAACATGGAGAAGGCAGGGAGGTGGCCCAGTCCTCCACGCAGGAACCTGGACAGCTCCATTACCCGGGTCTCCTCTTGCCGGATTCTGCTAACACAGCAGCTGCACCATGAGCTGTTGTATGCAACAGAACTTGAGCTGGGTGTCTTTCTGAGAGGTCAGCGGACACCAGGCCTCTGCATGCTGCCACAAGTGGGACAGGAGCTGGTGTCACTGTTGCTGCAGACACTGGGCCTCCTGGCTCTTGAGCGCCATCTGTGGAAGACCCTGGCGTGAGGCTAGGGATGACTTGCTGCTTCCTGAGTAAGCCCATAAATGCAGGGAAGGGGCACAGACACATGGGCAGTGACCTGCACTGACTCTTCGGCCTAATGACTGCTGACCCAGTAGGAAAGGTTCACTTGCTTCTATCAGTGGGATTGGAGTCACTGGCAGCATGGTTTTGTTCATCCAAACAGACAATTACGAGGCAGTGATTTGCCCTCCTGTAAGAATGACCCGGGTAAGGTCAGCCATCTTCCCACACCACAGTGACAAGCCTCATTGTGGCCTCCTCAGTCCCCAGGGAGAAGACACACGGTTCTAGGCACCAGGCTGCCCAGAGAGAGGAAAGGAAACTGTGGAGGGCACAGTTCTTTGGGAAGGAGGATGGGGGAGCACAAGGGAAGACAGCAGGCAAAAGAAAAAGCACAAACCTGAGGTGATGCCACCAGTGAGAGCAGCTCCTGGGGAAGGGACCCCACCACGTGACACAGTGTCATCAGCAGAAGGAAGTGCAGGAGCAGAGTGGTCTTCAAGCCTGTCACAGAAGGAGGCAGGTTTAAGGGGGACATGAGGGACAGAAGATAACCTAAGCACCATAGTCACAATGGAACAAGCACATAGGACAGGGCTGCTGCAGTCAGGAGACAGTCACACATGCTGGGAGACACTGGGAGTGAGGATGCGGCTACCCCAGGCTCCAGGCCACAGGCTCGCATTGCAGATGGCCGAAGCTCAAAGCAAGGGCTGACAGCCTCCGTCCTGATCCCCATGGCCTTGCCCTGTCTACAGCTCAGCAAATGACTGTCCAGGATGGGACCTGGGACAGCCTTAGGATGCTGGACCCTGCTCCTCAAAGACACTAGGTGCCACATTGACCCTGCCCTCATCATCATTTTAAAATCAGAGTTCCTCAGTAAGGGACCACTGGGACTCAAGTGGTGCCGCTAAAAATAAAGTTCAATAGACATTGAGCTCCACGAAGTGATTTTTCTGATGTCATCCAGTAAGCTAGTGGAAAAGAGAACTCAAAGACTCTCCTCTTAATCCTGGGCCCAGAGCTCTCCTTTCCACACTGAGGGGCTTTCAGAAGCCTGAAAATGAGTAGCTGTTCTCACTGGTCTGGCTTCCCTGATTGAGGACAATCAAATAGCAACTGCCATTTGCAGAATGTTTCCACTAGGCCCTACTGAATTCACACACACACAAAAATTCATTTGAATGGCGCAAGTGTACATAAAATGTTCCTTCCTGTCTTCTCTCCTTCTCTCTCTTTCTCTGTGTTTTAGAGTGCTGGGGATCAAACCCAAGGCTTCACACAACCTTGTCAAACACTCAGCCACTGAGCTACAACACTCATAGTTCCCAAATGCAGAATTCTAAACCAGTACCTGACACTTTTCTCACCTGACTCATCACCCCCTGTCACCCTCTACTGCCAATAGAACTCCGGGCAGCCTGGTCCCCTAAAACTCACTTTGCAGATGTGTAACAATCACCAGTGGCTGTGCCAGGATGGCTGCTATTTTAAATCTTTTTCTTCTTCTACAAGAGCACTAACACTATTTATTTAGTGGAAGTACTCTCAGTTGTGGAACGTAAAATCAGTGATGCTCATGAAAATGATAAATCCCCATATCACATCTTCTTGCATAGTTTTTGCAAGATGCTAGTATGCACGTCATTGGCTGCAATGCCACTCACAATCCTACAAGATGTTCTAATAATCAGTTAATTGCTGAGGCAATAACCTGTTAGTATGGCAAAAAAAAAAAAAAGAAAGAAAAAGGAAAAGAAAAAACAAAGGCAAGCTTACAGTGATGTCTGCCTGGAATCCCAGACACTGTAGAGATTGGGACAGGACAATCATAAGTTCAAAGACAGCCTGAAATAAAAAGTAAAGCAATCTCAAAATAGAAATTAAGGAAATGAGGCTTGGCATGTAGCTCTGTGATCCCTGGACTCAATCCCTAGTAGTACACACACATCCCCTCACAAGTGAAGAAGGTCTTGATCTCCATCAAAAGTTACACACACACACACACACACACACACACACACACATGAGAATATGAAGTAGAGAATTTAGCAAGGAATTTTAAAATCTCTGCAGAGTAGAAACATGGGAGAAAACCAACACAGACCTTTTCTCCTACGGTCACTCAGAGACACTGCCAGTGTTCAGCTCCCTGGTGAAATTTTCATGCTGTCACTGTCTAAGTTAAGAAGTGAGACAACTTAATTACCACTGTTCTGGTTCCCATGGCCACAAACCGATTGCAATTGGAAATTTGTGCCTCCACTAGAGAAAATGGGAAGGGGAAAACACTCCTCAGGGGACCAGGAATGAGGATCGGTATACAGGTGATGACAGTGACCAGGGGTTTGGGACTGGCCACATTCTACCCCTTTCTCCCTTTGCCTAGATCCAGTGTGCTCTAGCCTCTTCTCCACCCCAGCAACAGCGGGGACTGAGGTCCTTGGATATGGGGTTCTTGGAGGTCTGCTTTGGGGCAGGAGAAGGATAGGGCAGAGCCCAAGTGGGGCCCTGAAGTGACCAAATTCATGGAGGGTGGGGCGTGGCCAGTGGGGAGCCAGGCTGTGAGGAGTGCTGACAGCGCACTGAGGGTTTGTTTCTGACCCTGGTGCAGCAATTGGGAAACAGCCTGAGTCCAGGGGCTGCAGCCCTGTGTGACTCACCTTTCTGAAGGCTTTGGTAGTACATGTGATGTAACATCCTTAATGTCGTGTAGAATTCAGCAGTCAGTCCATCAGGGGCTGGGCAGTTTGTAGTTGGTAGACGCTATTATTTTCTCAATTGTTTGCTCATTATGAGGATAAATATTTTTGTACCTTCTTGGGTTAGCTTTGGCAACTTGTACTAAGAAAATGTCTATTTCTTCCCACTTTTCCACTTTATTGGAATGCAGTTTTTCATATTAGCTACTATCTTCTGAATATCCATAGAGTGGATTGAGATTTCCCCTCTAATTACAGTGATAGGACTTTTTACTCTCTCTTGATAAGTTTGGCTAAGAGTTTATTTTGTTTATTCTTCTGAAGAAACATCTTTTCTATTTGTTGATTCTTTGTATTGTTTTTAGTTTCAATTTTGTTGATTTTCAGTCTAAATCTTGATTTCCCTTTTTAGTGTTGGTTTGGCCCAGGTTGGTGTTATTTCTTGAATAGCTTATTGTTTCTTTTGATGCCTTTTATTTGAGTCCATGTAGTTTTCTTAAAGTAACGATTAATTACATCAACTTCCCTCTTAGGACCACTTTCATAGCGCTCCAGAGGTTCAGTGGGAGTTGTGGCATTGCCATTAACTTCCAGAAATATTTTGATGGAATCTCAGCATTGTCTTAATGTGCATGTCTTGACTGATCAGTGGTGTCGAACATGTTTTCATACATTTATTTGTCATTTCTACTCCATCTGAGAAGTGTCTATTCATTACACGTGGCCATTTTTACATTTGGCCTTAAAATGGGGGGCTGGTATCTGATTGTTTTCAGTTCTTTACATATTCTAGATATTAGCCTTTTGTCTGAGGAACACCAAGCAAACACTTCTCCTGCTCTGCGGGTTGTCTCTTCAATCTGCTAGTGATTTCATTTACTGTGAAAGTCTTTTAATAAAATGAGATCCCAGTTCTTGATTTTTTGTGATAGTTCCATTTGATTGGAGTTTTGATCTTAAAGTCTTTACTTACATCAGTGTGTTCAAGTGTTCTATTTATTGTTTCTTCCTGCAGATTTACTGTTTATGTTTTAATATGTTGATCCATGTTGATTTTAGGTTAATGCATGAAAGTTATGTGTCTCTTTGAATCCTCGTTTTGTAGAAAGCCAGCACATGTTGAAAGAGGCCATCTTTTGTCAAATGAAGGTGCTTGGCTCCTGTTTCAAGCATAGCTGAGTGAGTAAGTCTGGAGTTGTTCTTCAGCTTCAAATCTGTTCCATTAATCTTCAGGTCTGGTTTTTGTAGTTGTGGTTGTTATTGTTTTTATTTTTGTTTTTTGACAGTACCATGCTGTTTTCATCCCAGTAGCTTTGTAGTAGAGTTTCAAGTAAGAGGTGGTGACGTCCCTTGCTTTGCCTTTATTGCCCTGAAATGGGTTTTGCTATTCTAGGTCTCTTCTGGTTCCAAAGGAATTTTAGGATTATTTTCTCTAATTCCATGAGACGTGCTGTTGAAATTTTGATCAGAATTGCATTAAATGTGTCACAATTTTGCAAGTATGACCATTTTCACTGTATTAGTTCTTCCTACTGAAGAGCACAGCATATTTTTCCATTCTCTGATATCCTCTTCAATCTTATTTTTCAGAGTACTATAGTTTTCAATGTAGCGCTCTTTTACCTTTCTCATTGGATTGATTCCTATGTATCTCATTATTCTGGATGCTATTGTGAAAGGTATTTTTCTTTAACTTGTCTCTCAGTGAGTTTGTTAGGAGTGTATAGGCAGGCTGTTGACTTTGGAGTCTTGATTTATATCTAGTTATGCTACTGATTTTGATTATTAAATCTAAACATCCTTGGTTGAGATTTTGTGGTCATCTGTGTAGAACATCCTGTCACTCACATATAATGATAATTTAATGTCTTCCTTTCCTATTTATTACTTTTATTTCTTAGTCTTGTCTAATTGCTCTGCTAATGTTTTCAGAACTATATTGAATGAGAATGGTAACAGTGGACACCTTTGTCTTATTCCTGATTTTAGAGTGAAAGCTTTCAGTATTTGTCCATTTAGCATGATGTGGATTTCTCATAGAATACTTTTCTTTAAACTTCACTGAAGATCATAGATGACTTTTATCAGATTGAGATAAATACAATTTTTATGTATTTATGTATTTCTTTATCAACTTTTATGTATTTCTTTATCATAAGTGGGTGTGGAAATTCATCAAATGCTTTTTCTGACTCTATTGAGATGATCATATGCTTTTGTCCTTGGCTCTGTGAATATGGTGGATTACGTTTATTGGTTTACATCTGTTGAATCATCGCTGCATCCCTGGGAGGAATCCTGCGTGGTCCTGGTGTGTAATCTTTTGATGATCTGTTGCATTCTATTTAACAGAATCTTATTGATGTCTTTTCATCTATATTTTTTAGGAAGATTGGCTTGGGATTCTCTCTCTCTCTCTCAGTTGGATACTTCTCTGGCGTTGGAGTCATGGTAATATTTTCTTCCCTGAATGAATTTGTGAATATGCTTCCCTTCCAGTTTCAGTAAGACTTTGGGGCATAGGGGTATTAAATGTTCTCTAAATTTCTTATAGAATTCAGCAGTAAATCTGTTAGAGCTTGGGTTTTATTTGTTGGTAGGTTTTCTATTACATCTTCAATTTCATTGACTGACATTGGGTTATTTAATATTTTATTTTTTCTTGATTCAGTTTTGATAATTCGTATGTATGTAGGTATCTATCCATTTTTTCTGTGTTTTCCATCTTGTTTGAGTACAGGTGCTTGAAGTAGACATTGAATGAACTTCTAGATTTCTGCAGGATCTGTTGTGATTTAACCCTTTTCCATGCTAGTTGCATGGATTTGTGTATTTTCTCTCCTTTTTTGATAAGGTTGTCTAAGGGTTGGTCAATTTTATTTACTGTTTCAAACAACGAACTCTGGAATTCATTGGCTCTTTGTATTGTTTTCTTAGTCTCCATGGCATTACCATCAGCTCTGAATGTTTTAATTTCCTCTCTTCTGTAGCTTTGTAACTGATTTGCTCTTGCTTTTCTGGAAGCTTGAGGTTCAACATTAGGTTGTTGATTTAAGCTTGATATGTTTTTCTGATATGAGAATTCACAGCTATAAATTTCCCTTGAACGGCTGTTTTCACTGTGTCCCATAATTTCTAGTTTGTTGTACTGGCATCATCATTTAATGGTAAAAACTTTCTTTTTTTCATAAATTTCATCTGTGGCTCCTTAGCTGATCAAGAGAGTACTATTTAATTTCAATGTGTTTATGAAGTTCTCATGGTTTTCTTTTTCATTGATTTCCTGTTTCAGTGTACTACAGTCTGATAATACCTCTGTGAAAACTTCAGTTCCTTTAAATTTATGTAAGCATGTTCTATGAGTTAATATGTGGCCTATTCGGGGGAACATGTATGCACAGCTGAGAAGAATGTGTGTTCTGGTGTTGTTGGGTGGATCACTCTGTAGACATGTACTAAGTCCATTTGTTGAAAAATTTGGTTCAATTCTAGTATTTCATTTTTTATCTAATCTATTTATCTGTGACAATGGTGAACTAGTGCTTCTTTAATTGTGTGTGTCAATATTTGTTTTATGTAATTAGGTGCATTGGCCTTTGGTGCATATATATCTATGATTGTGATTTCTTCCTTTTGAATTATTCTGTTCTTTGTATCAATCCATCTTCGCTTGAAGTCTACATTGTCTGCAAGTAAAATAGCTACCCCTGCTTTTTACCAAGTTCCTGTCGCATTAAATATTGTATAACATCCTTTGATTTGTCTATGAATTTCTTTTTCAAATATGTATCTAGGAGTCTGTCCATTTCTTCTGTGTTTCCAAATTATTGGAAAATGGGTTCTCTAAATGGGTCTTGATGATCTTCTGGATTTCTGAAAAATCTCATATGATTTCATCGTCTTCAATGCTCATTGCATGGACTTGAGTTTGTTCTTTTTTTTGGATAAGGTTATCAAAGGGTTTGTCAATTTTCTTTTATCTGTCAAGAACCAATTCTTGGATTCACTGATTTTTTGTGGTGTTTTTTTAGTCTCCAGTGCATTGCCTTCTGCTCTGATTGTTATAATTTCCTCCATTCTACGAGCATTGGCTTAACTTGCTCTTGTTTTTC